TCATCAGATACCTTAACAATATCACTTAAAAAAAAACCAAAGCCATATGTCGCTTATATGAATAAAAGAATTATATTTTTTGCATCCCTATATGATTATAAACGTTATTCTTCTAGTGAAATTTATTGAAATTATTCAAATATCCCTTAGAAGGAACATTGGATTCTTAAGGGTTAAGATTTGTTTCTATGCAAATTTTCAAATCGAAATAATCTAACAGATATTTGTATGAAAGATTGAATTATTATTTCAATTTATAGTTTTCTGTTTTATTTTTGTTATAATGTACTTTTGTAAATTTGTATTTTAGCAAGTGTTATGTTTGCATTTATTGATCGTTCAATTGTAAAAAAAGTTGTAAACTTTTTACCTCGAGTTGGTGTTGGTGGTCGTTATGGTTTACCACAACAACGGTTAGAATAATTATTTAATAATATTTATTTTTCTATTAATTTTATTTAGACGAACATCATTAGCATCAGCAAAACAATTATTTCGTTCAGCAAATATGACTCAACGATGGCAAAGACGAGAAATTTCAAATTTTGAATATCTTATGTATCTTAATACAATTGCAGGTATAATTAAATAAAGATTAAAAATAAAAATTTTTTTACATTTAAAATATTTTTTAGGTCGAACATATCAAGATTTAAATCAATATCCTGTATTTCCATGGATTATAGCTGATTATGAAAGTGAAAAACTTGATTTAAATTCTCCATCAACTTATCGAGATTTATCAAAAGTAAAATTTAAATTATTTTTATTATCTATACTTGATTTATTTTTCTTTAGCCAATTGGTGCATTAAATCCTACAAGAAAATCATTTTTTTATTGAACGTTATAATAATGGGGAATCTGATACAATACCACCATTTCATTATGGTACACATTATTCAACAGCTGCATTTACACTTGGTTGGCTTATTCGACTTGTTAGTTTGAATATAATTATATTTAAATGAATCGAATAGTTTTCTTGTTTTAGGAACCATTTACAACATTTTATTTAAATTTACAAGAAGGAAAATTTGATCATGCTAATCGATTATTTCATTCAATACCATTATCATGGCAAAATTGTCAACGTGATTCATCAGATGTTAAAGAATTAATACCGGAATTTTTTTCTCTACCTGAAATGTTAACAAATTGCAATCATTATAAATTAGAACGAACTGAAGATGGAATTAAAGTTGATGATGTTATTTTACCTAAATGGGCACAAACACCAGAAGATTTCATTCGAATTAATCGAACAGTAATAAAAAAAACAAGAGAAATTTTTTGAAGAAATAAAAAAAAATTCTTTTTTTTAGGCATTAGAATCTGAATTTGTTTCATCTCATTTACATC